AAAATGATGTAGTGCATTTCCATTCAATTTCACTAAAAAATAATCCAATACTTTTTTTCCCTTCAGATTTATTCAAATTGGGCTCCCTATGACTTAGGAGCTCCGCTTTTAAGTAGTGCCTAAATATATACATATTAGCTATTTTCTTATTGCTGCAAGCCAGCAGGCAAGCAGCGACACTAATCTTGAAGATTGGGATCCCTGTTTGCCTTTGTGGATGCTATGAAAAATCTCGATTTTCTGTCACTGCCTCACGATGATTCGCCCCAGAGCCCCTCTGTCCTCTGCCCTCAGTAAACCTGGACACAAAACTGCGAGAAATCATCCTGCTATTTATGTTAAGCCGTTTGTGCTTTCCTTCGCTCACTATAGCTCAATTGATCTTCAAAGTTGGATTCTTCTCCAAATAACCTGAGGTGTAGTTTAATCATGACACATTCAAACTTATTTATTAGGAAGCATTCATCAGGAAGACAGTGTGCTTTTAAGAGTTTTTCAGCGCTGTTATACAGTCACTCAGGGTTTGCCAATTGAATGCTGGAATACAGCTACAGTAGATCAGATCCTTGTCGAGGGAGATGCCATGTACCTGAGTGCCCTTGAAAGACAAATCATCCCAGATACCGAGACGTTATCATTGACTTTTCTACCTGTTACAGCTTTCTGGTCTTCGCACCATGATGCAAAAAAACCAAGCCAATCGTCCATTGAGACAACTACTATATATATCATGAACCAATCGCCCATATATTATTGTACTTATACTCATAGTTCTTGTTCTTAGATATTATTATTATTGTTTTAAGCTAGTCAATTTACATGACGCTTTTGTTTTCCTCTTGCTTATGCTTTTACACATATATTTCCGTGTCTCCTTCAAATGTTGATAAATACACTTCAATAAAAAATGTTTTAATATTGTATTTCCATCTCAGTATCAGGTCACCGTTGTCCCCTAACTACTCGCAACATAGCTAATAATTCCATAACCCCTACACACTATAAAAAGGAGTACAGTAAATGACCATTAAAAAAATAGATATATTTATTTTCATTGCTTACCACTCTTTTTCTTATAGATTATGACAGCAATCACAGCTATAATTGCTACCACAGCAATCACTCCAATGACAATTCCCACTATCTCTCCGCTGGTTAAACCAGTGCTTTCTGGAAAGATTGAAATTTGAATAGTTATAAATTAAAAAACAAAAACACAATGAATCAAGCATAGAGGAGATAGAGTGGCATGGGTGGTGTAGTGGTTTACTGCTTGCCTCTCACCACTGTGATCCAGGTTCAAGCCCTGCCTCAGACTGGATCATATATGAGTTGAGTTGAGTTTAATGTGTTGTTCTCTCCCTTGCCAAAAGGGTTTTCTCCGGGGTTTCCAATTTCCTCCCTTTGTAAAAAGCAACATGTGAGTTGAGTGTTGTATGCTGTAAATGTAGAATGTAGTGGTAGTACGTGTGGAGGGGACCTTACTGGGAGAGCTTCACGTGGGATGTGGTGGGTGTAAAATAGGAGTTTTAAGTGTTAATATATTTAGTACATATATATATATATTTGTTTGAGAAGAAAAAGTCAAGACAACATTTTTCTCGACAAGCCTGTTTCATGAATTGCTTGATCACTCTTCGTGGGATTCAATGAGAAGAATATTTGAACAAATATTCTGCTCTACTTCTATGGATGTATTGTCAGAGCACTATTTTACGGAAAATTGATTTACAGATTTCTTATGTATATAATATAAATAATA